GAAGGGCCGCGGCGGATGAAGGATCTGCGGATGGCGGCGGCCAAGCATGGGCGGAGGGCGCGGCGACATGCATCGGATGCTGGTAAAGAGGAGGAGCGCCTTGCACGTACGGTGCCCATGGGCTCGGATCCATGGTTTAGTGTGACACCCTTCCTGGAACTAACGATCATGGGATGTAGTCAGTGGTGCTGCGGTGGATAGGTCTCCTCATTAGGTCAGAATTTTTTCCTTTATACACGCACACCGTTTACAAACAGCAACTTCACTCTCCCCATAGGTTGTTGAAACAATCTATACACAATCAAGAAGCATACCGTATTTCCTAAAGGACCCGTGGGACTTTCCAATTTCTCAATATCTAGGGTGAACATCATGGAAAATGGATTTAGAAGACCCTCGTACATCATGGATTTACCCTATATAGCAAGATTTCTTCTGCGCATATCGAGCACAACGAAAAAATTACTCGCAAAAGTGCCTCGTCAAACATTCGATCTGACACGGTGAACGCGACAGCTTTCGAGCCTGACACTTTTCACTCGAATTGACTCACGCCCCTTAGTGTCTTAGGAGCCGCTGTCGCCGTGCTCCCTCGTAAGCACAGGTAGCTACGACTGCGCCTAGCACCCAAGACGGTCGATGTCAATCGAAATGGCGGATCGCATTGATCTTGCCGGCCTCACGCAGGCGCGCCTGGATGAGCTGACACGCCAACTGCGCAAAAGCGTCGAAGAAAATGCGACGCTAACGGCAGAACGAGTGTCACTCCAACGCGACATAAACTTGGCGCAACAAACACAGACACAGACGTAAGGAATACCAACACCGGCAGCACCAACAACATAACATCCCGACACGAGAGCGTGGGACAACGCTCGAGCGCTGCTAGTGATGGCGTCGCTCGACACGAAGTTCGTGAGCGACGCATCTACATCACGACGCCAAACGACGAGTCAGCCCTCCCGTCGCTGACGCCACTCAAGTCGCAGCGTCCGCCATGCTTCGACCCGAGTCAGCGGGGTGGTCGGACGGTTCAGGCGTGGATCTTCACAATGAACTTTTTCTTTGACGCCAACTACGTATCGTCCGATGCGGCGAAAATCCGATATGCCGTGTTTTTACTGCGAGAACCAGCCATCGATTGGTGGCGCGTCATCGTCACGAAGCCGAGCGACTACAAGACTCTACCACCACGGGAAGGACCGTCCGGACCTTGGGCACTGTCGTATTTCGTGGAGGTCGCCCAGTATCGCACGTGAGACACGTGGTGCGCGTGTCTGCGCTGGAGATTCGAGCCAATTGCAGCGTCAATTTTCGCGCGTCAGAAGTTGCGCACTTGGCGCCAGCTCGGTTCCGTCCAAGGTTACACCATCGGATTCCTTGCATTTTGTGAGCATGTTGTCAAAATCTAGCAGCAGGAATGAATGAACTAGGTCAAAGTTTGGTACAAGTATGAAACCCTAAAAGGGGTTGTACCCCATATTGGCTACCCCACTATAGCCTACACATATGTAACATGCATATACTTTGACACACCCCCATAGGCAAAGTGGGGGAGAGCAAGGGGTCACAAGACCAGTCAAGAGAAGCAAAGCAAGCTCAGGGTGGATCACAACGTCACCACATACACTGAGCACAAGCAAAGGGCCACAAGGCCAGTTCACATGCAGAGGTATATATGCAAAAACAACAGCACAGTGATCTCTACCTAGCAGAGCAAGCATGCAGGTATATATATAGATCACAGTACAAGCAAAGTCTACAGCAAGTGAGGAAACGTGGGCACAAGGCCTAACAGAGTGCAGAAACGCTGATGATCACCAGACGGAAGCGCCTTGGTGAATATATCAGCAGTGTTGGCCCGAGTGGCCACGTGAGCAAGACGAAGCTGACCACGCTGCTGCAACTCTCGAGCCAGGAAGTAACGCAGAGCGATGTGCTTCGTTCTGTGCTCCAGTCTGTGCTCCTGACACAAGGCAATGGCGGCCTTGTTGTCGACGTACAGCACTGGAGGAGAACGAGGCCGCTCTCCCAAGTCGGTCAGCAGGTAGGTGAGCCAGCGTAACTCCTGTGCAGCCATGGCTCTGGCGTAGATCTCAGCCTCACAACTGGAGCTGAGAACTGAAGAGGAGCGTGTAGAACGCCAAGAAACCGAACCAGAGCCAAGGCTGAAGGTGTAACCCTGTGACGACCGCTGCGTAGCCTGGTCGTCAACCCAAGAAGCGTCCGAGTGCCCAGTGAGGACAACGTCGCCCCGTCCTCCAAGCACGAGCCCCATGCCCGATGTACTGCACAAGTAGCGCAGTACCCTCTTAGCAGCATCCATGTGCACCTTTCGGTGCCGACCAGGAGCCACGTAGCGAGCCAGAAGGCCAAGAGGGTACGCAAGGTCAGGTCGAGTGCAGGTCATCAAGTACATGAGGCAGCCCACTAGCTCTGGGTAAGGACCACTCGGCTCTACGGAATCGTCCGAAGGTGGAGCTGAGAGCGAGTGACCTGTAGCCAGAGGAGTGGCCTGTGCCGAGGACCAGGTGAAGCCGAAGCGCTGAAGGACCTGCTGCACCATGTGTGACTGAGTCAGTGTGATGGTGCGGCGTGCTCTGTCCCGGGTGATCTGCAAGTCAAGGTAACTGCGCAGCTCACCCAGGTCTGTGCACGTGTGTCTCTTCTGCAGCTCGGACTTCACATGGGCGAGTCCAGCAGTGTCAGCTGTGGCAAAGACCAAGTCGTCGACGTACACGAGGATGTAGGAACAGCGGCAAAGAAGTGTCGGTGCGCAGAAACAGCGACGGGTCGGCAGTAGAAGGAGCAAACCCAAGAGCCGCAAGTGTAGTCCTCAGTGTGTCGTGCCACTCACGAGGTGCCTGGCAGAGACCGTAGACTGGCCGCCGGAGGCTCCACTGGGTACCAGGAGGGAACGACCCAGTGAAGCCAGGTGGGCGGCGCAGCCAGATCTCCTCGTGCAGGCTGCCCTGTAAGAAGGCTGTGCTGAAGTCAAGAGAGTGAAGCTCGTAGTCACGCTGAGCGGCAACGTGCAGCAGCACCCGAAGAGTGGTCATCTTCGGGGTGGGGGAGAAGGTCTGGAAGAAGTCTACTCCCTCTTGCTGACTGAAACCTCGTGCAACGTAACGCGCCTTGAAGACAGGCGGAGAACCCGGCGGCCGCTTCACCCTGAAAATCCACATGCCACTGACGATGTTCGCCCCAGGTGGGGGAACCTCGTCGACGTAAGTGCCTGTGGACTTCCAGGATGCCATCTCTGCGTCCATGGCTGTCTGCCACTGAGAGGAGTACTCACCCGCTATCGCCTCAGCGTAAGAGCGCGGGGTCGGGATGTCTGGAGCATCCGGGTCTCCCTCAGGGGCAAGCAGCATGGACACGAGATGAGGCGCAGCGGCTGCAAGACACTCAAGGTCCTCCTGCCTGTCCTCAAGGACGTCCGTGCCAAGAGCACACTCACCCCCGACGGACGGAGGACAGACAGACTCAGACTCAGCAACAAGACTAGCGGCGTAGTCTAGACGACAGGAAGCAGCAAAGTCAACAAGCTCAGCGACTAAGGCAGACGCAGCAGCAGACTCAAACGACGGGTCAGTGACAACAGTGGCTAGCAGACGCGTGACAGTAGGGTGCTCAGCACGAAACCGGTCAGACTCAGGGTCCGCAAGGACAGGCAGAGAAGACGAGGAGACGGCAGAGGAACACGCTGCGAAGGAGAGGAAGGACGACGGACTACGAGGTCGGGCTGACGCGGACGAGGAACACGACGACCGGACCAACCAGAACGGACAGGCGAGACAGGACGCGACGCAGGCTCACGACGCTCAGTAAGGCCCCCTGTCTGCTCAGTGTAAGGAGAAGGAGCAGGCAGCGGTGAGCCAGGCTGTAACGGAAGACCAGTAGACGAAGGGAGACTAAGAAACTGGCGAAGCACAGAGTCAGGCGGTGGCTGAGACGACGGAGACGGTGGAGCGAAGAACAAGCGCGGCTGTGCAGTGACACCTGCACCAGCAGCTCCAGTACCCCCAGCAGCTCCAGAACCCTCAGCGCCAGCTCCTCCAGGACAAGCTCCACCAACAGCAGCATCGCCAGAACCGGCACCTCCAGTCCCAGGGTCTACAGCCTCCGTGTCTCCAGCAGCTGCACCCCCAGACCCACGGTCTCCAGCAGTAGCACCCTCAGGCTCAGCACCTCCAGCCCCAGCAGCTCCAGTACGTCCAGTACGAGCACCTCCGGGACCAGCACCACTCCCAGCTCCAGTGACGTCAGCAGAAGTACCTGCAGCGGCAGAGCCCCGAGCTCCAGAAGCACGACCCTGACGGCGACCGTACCAGTCGTGCAGCTGCTGTGAGGTGAGAGGCACACGCGGACGAAGGCGGCTACTCCAAGGAGACCGCGTAACAGCAGACTCAGAGCCCTCAGCGCCAGCACCCGCAGCAGCTCCAGAACCTCCAGTGCCAGCACCCTCAGCAGCTCCAGAACCTCCAGCTCCAGCGCCACCAGCGCCAGCACCTCCAGCAGCTCCAGAACCTCCAGCTCCAGCACCCTCAGTAGCTCCAGAACCTCCAGCTCCAGCGCCACCAGCGCTAGCACCTCCAGCTCCAGCGTCACCAGCGCCAGCACCTCCAGCAGCTCCAGAACCTCCAGCAGAAACAACTCCAGTAGCAGAGTCACCAGCTCCAGCGCCTCCCGCAGCAGGGCCCCTAGCTCCAGCAGCGCGACCCTGACGGTCAACGTACCACTCAAGCAGCTGCTGTGGGGAGAGAGGGAGTCGACGACGAGAGTGCAGCGGCGAGGCACCAGCGGAGCGACTACGGAGACGGCCGCTCTAGGGAGACTGCTCACCAGACTCCTCAGCGCCCCCAGGTGCAGCACCCCCAGACTCAGTACCCCCAGGCTCAGCACCCCCAGACTCCTCACGCCCAGGCTCAGCACCTCCAGTCTCCGCACCCCCAGGCTCCGCACCCCCAGGCTCCGCACCTCCAGGCTCCGCACCCCCAGGCTCAGCACCCCAAGGCTCCGCACCCCCAGGCTCAGCACCCCCAGCAGCAGCACCCCGAGCAGGACCACCCTCAGCAGGACCTGAGTCACCAGTGACCTCAACCGACTCAGTCAAGGGAGGAGGGTCTAACT